GGGAGAGACAGTTTGCTCTCGTAAGTGGCACTTAAGTGCTGCAGAGAATAGCCCCTCTTTCCTTACCTGCTGCTTTGTCAGATCACCCACGTGGCCCTTCTTTGTCCTCTAGAGAGGAACTAATGTCAGGATAGAGGACAGGACAGTGGATCTAAAACCTGGTTTGACTAACTCCATCCCTTCCAGACTCTGGTGAAAACGACAGCCTCTCTTCCCAGAAAAATGCCTATATACACATGCAGGAAATGTTGCCCATTATTTTAGGGGCTTTAGGATCCCTGAGATGCCCAGGGTCACAGGACAAGACCCACTGCACTGGAAGCAGAAAAGCAAACTTTTTCAAGGCATGCAGCATATAGGATGCCGCCCCCAAAGCTCCAGAATCCGTTCTCGGCCCTCCCTAGTTAGCCAGATTGGGCCTTTTTGGTCTTTTATGTATTCTACTTGTTTTTGTTCTTTGTTTTTTTTTTTGTTTGGTTTTTTTTTTTTTTTACAGAATATTTTATTTTTTTAAAGATTTTATTCATTTATTTGACAGAGAGAGATCACAAGTAGGCAGAGAGGCAAGCAGGCAGAGAGAGAGGGAAGCAGGCTCCCCGATGAGCAAAGAGCCTGATGTGGGGCTCCATCCCAGGACCCTGAGATCATGACCTGAGCCGAAGGCAGCGGCTTAAACCACTGAGCCACCCAGGCACCCCTATTCTACTTATTTTAATTTGTTTTCCTGTTTGGACTAGATAATGGAAATACTTGGCAGAAATACTCAAGAAGTACCCAAGGATATTCAATGAAAAGGAAATTTCTTCTCTCTCTATTCTAGGGCCCCTCCCCCGAGGCATCCACTACTAACAGTTTCCAGTGTATCCTTTCAGGAATATTCTAAGCATGTATGCACATATATTCCCTGTCTCTTCCAAATGGAAGCATACTTAACACATTTTTTGTTGTCGTTCAATGCTTTTTGCCCCCCTTAGTCCTGTATTTTAGAGAGTATTTATTCCTAGGATGTACAGCTCTGCTTTACTCTTTTTCCATGCTGCATAGTGTTCCATCTTAAGGCTTAAGCATAATTGATTAAATCTGACCGTACTTAATGACCATTAAGGTCATTAATTTATTTTATTTTTTTTAGTTTTTGTTTGTTTGTTTTTTAAAGTAAACTCTGCAACGTGGGGCTTGAACTTACAACCCTGAAATCAAGAGTTGCATGTTGTACTGACTGAGCCAGTCAGGTGCCCCCAGTCTCTCTTTTTTTTTTTTTTTAAAGATTTATTTAATTTGGGAGGGGGGAGGCAGAGGGAGAGGGAGAGACAGTCTTGAGCAAACTCCGTACTGGGCAGGGAGCCCGATGCTGAGATCACTACCTGAGCTGAAACCAAGAGTCAGTTACTTAACCCACGGCACCACCCAGGCACCCCCACCCCCCTGCCCCCGTATCTTTTTAAACTACAAATAATACTGCAGCCTGTATTCTTCTGTATGTGTGAAAGTATATCCACACACCCATTCCTAGCATTGGAATTGCTGAGTCCAATGAAACATTTTGATAGACATTAACAAATTGCTCTCTAAAGAGGTCCGTGGAAGGCAGAATAATAGCCTCCCAAAGATATCCCTGTCCTAATTACTGGAACCTTTGAATATGTTAGCTTCCGCCGCAAAGGGGAATTAACATTACAGATAGAATTAAATGGCTAATCAGCTGACCTTAAGATAGGGAAACGATCCTGGGTTATCTGGATCCGACAGTGTAATCACCAAGATCCTTAAAGAGAGAACCAGAGAGATAGCAGTGTGATAAGGACTTCGCTCAAATTGCGGACTTTGAAGATGAAGGGAGGGAGCTCCTGGCTGAGGAATGTAGTGACCCCTAGAAGCTGGAAAAACAAAGGAAAAAAGCCAAGGAATACAGCCCTGCTTCTAGCTTTGCCTTTAGCCCAGTGAGATCTGTGTTCGATTTCTGACCCACAAAACTAATAATAATAAATGAAGATTTGTCTTATTTTAAGCCATTAGAGCCTTCTCTCTCTTTTAGTTTCCCTCTCCATATGAATACTCCTTTCTACCTTATTTGTGGAATGTTTACAATTTATTGTCTTATCATTCATGTCTTTGGTTAAATGGAAAATTTGCAACCATAATTATCTGTTACACTTTTGTTCTTTGCCAATTAAGTGTTTGGAAAATTCCCATGTGGGACATGTGCCATTTTTTTTTTTTGGCAGTGGCCAGGATGTGAGCAGGATGTGCTGATGTGTCATTTCTGCAGTGCTGATATCACTGCTGGCCAGTCTGCCCTGCAGAAACACTGGGAACACAAGCTGGTCAGTGGGATTTGTTTTCTGCCACCCAGATGGCAGCCTCAGTGATTCACTACTTTGCAATATGGGCCAGAGGCATTGTGTACTTTGTGTACGTAGAAACTTTTACAACTCCATGGTAGCTCAGGTGACCATGGTGAGTAAAATGAACAAGCATAAATATTCATCATCACCTCATTTAATACGTCCATGGCAGACGAGTAGTAGCTATACCCAGTCTTTCCTCATTCTGCAAATTTAGTCTGCCCTGATGTGGTGTTGATTCCCAAACTCAGCAGTTTCAGTGGGTGAAATCTGAAGCTGGTTCCTAGATGTGGAGGACAGTGAGAGACTGAAGAAAGAGGCAGGCCACTCAAGACCAGTAGGTGGCCGTTTTAATAAGCAAGGGTACTTAGGAACATAGGAGACTTGTTTTAGGCAGCCACAAGATGACTAGATCTCTGCACCCACCCTCCAGAAACTTAAAGGTTTATCTGGAGGACTTAACTGGGTTCAGTCACATATACCATCCAGATGGTCTCAACAGCATTTTGCTCTCTCAAGGCCTGTGTTATTGAAATGACTCCTGTTGTAGGAATGGTGGGCAGAACGTATATCCAAGGACAGTGGAAGGGGATGACAGGCTTCCAATTTCTCTGGTTCAGCTTATGGGTCAACCAGTGGTCATGTCCTCTTGATGACCTTCTTCAACTTACCCATATACCTTGAACCCTATAGACTGGCTTGACCATCTCTGCATTTAACATCTCTTCAAAGATATTTATTGAGCATCTGCTATGCTAGGTATTTAGAATACAAGCTCTTAGCCACGCAGAACTCGCTGTTTATGGAGACAGACAATCAACAATCATAGGAACAATTGTGAAACTGCTATGGTGATAGTTGCTACAAAGAAGAGACACATGTATTCATAGTCAGGAGAGTCCTCCTTGGGAGGGAGAGCAGAAGAAAGGCCTAGGTGAAATATGTAGATCTGTGTTTTTGTCCTTACCAACATCGTATGCCACCATAGGTAAAGGGCATAGAGCATAGAGCAAGTAAAGAAAAGTACCTAGAAACATGCATAGCCAGGTAGAGGAGGATGAAGAGAGAGAAAGAATGGGCAGAGGGTTGAAGGGAAACCAGATAAGACTTGTATCCAACCCTAAGAGCCAAGCAAGGAGAGTGCAGTTAAGACCAGTAAGAGCATGAGATGGGACAGTGTGTCTGTACACATCAACAGGATTTCTATGCCACAGGGGCTGTGAGGTGGCAGGGCACACCGGAATTCAAGTGTGGCTGTTTCTCTTTAGCTGTGTGGCTTTGGGGAAAAGGCTGTCTGGCCTCAGATCCTGCATCTGTAAAACAGAGATGATACCTTCCTCTAAGAGTTATTGTGGAGATGAAATAAATGAGCATATGCAAAGTGTCTAGCGCTTTGCAGGTTCTCAATCAAGATTGATTTCTCCCTTCCCCTATGTCTCTGTCCACTTGTTTAGTCATCTTGCTTTGGTCGTTACTCTCCTTGATGACTTAGTATTGGTTTTGGTGACTTACCTGTGAGGGTCGACTCTGGTCCTGTTCCTGTATATCACCGTTCACCTGGATACCAGCAAGCTGTTGTGAGTCAACGAATCAGTTCTCTGGATGTGGCAGGGAGCCAAGCACGCACGCGTGTGCCTCTTGGTGTGCAGACAGCCAAAGCAACAGGGATCGTGTAAGGACAAAATATACCCTCCCTCATCATGAGTGTTCCCGTTCCAGGGAAAAGAACTCCAATTACCAAAGTTAATGCCTAATTGTCTCAGGGCATGTTTGTGCACTTGCATTCCTGCAAATGCAGAAACCTCCGATAGCTTAGTAATGAATGACTCATCACAATCTCAGATTTCTTTCTGGAGACAGCATTAGCCCTCCCAGATTTTTCAGATTGGCTAGAAGCAACCACTCCCTCCTTCTTTCCTTCCTTTTTGTCTATCAAATACAGTGAGTGGACAAAAGTGCATTGTCCCCTACTGGTTAAGAACTTTTGCTCTGCCTGCCACCTCTGATGATTTTCACACTGTGGCCCTGGCTTTGGCAACCACTTTAACTATTACCCCCTGGGACGTAATGTAATTCCCTGCTTGCCTCAGGTTAACTAAACGCCAGAAAAGAGAGACGGACAAATATTTCCATTGTGGCTAACATGGGAAACCAAAAGTTTTAATCTCAGAATTATCTTTGTATTTCTAATTAGCACACATGTTGGTTTCTTATTGATAGGGGCCATGTTTTCCAAACCAAACCCAAGGACCTAACATTTCACAAGCAAGAGAGTACCTTCAGGGACAAGCTACTCTATTAACTGGAATTGTTGAAGAAATTCCAGGGCTCGGTGGCCATAGAGCTACTAAAAATGGGAAGCACTTAAATGATAACGGAGCTAATGATCCTATTTCCCTTTCAGAATGCACGCTGTAAACATTTTAACATAGCAACGGGGGCCTTAAAGAAGGTGATGGGAAGGGAAACTGGAGCTCTTCCTGCATCCGGCGAGCCAGCAGCGCCAACCGCGGCACCCGGTGTTTGTGCGGCCGGCGCCCAGCCCGGGAAGCCGCTTCGGGACTGCGCGTGCGCCGAGCCGCCCGCGTTCCAGGTGGAAGGTTGCGCGTTTGAGTGTTCATGGCAACGCCGCGCTTCCGCCTTCTGGAAGCCTTGGCTCCAGCTCCCGCAGTGTGAGACCCGTCCGGGTGCGAGGGACCTGGGCTGAGTCCGGGGGGACAGATGGGGGGACGAGGGCGAAGGGGGCAGGGGAAGCCGCTGGGAACGTTTGCCCCGGGGAGTGAGCTAAACTAAGGAAAAGTGGTCCAAGGCTCCGCACAAAAGGATCTTTTCATTCCCGTCCTTTCGCCCACGCAGGGAACGATGCCTCTGGAAGTGGTGGTGGAACTACAGATCCGGGCGGTAAGAGAAGTCGACGAATCTCCACACCTTGCTTTAAATCAGACTCTTTCCCCAGGATTCCTAAATGGTCGCGACCACTTAAACCACCTCCTCACCACACACATCATTATCTTTTGGGACAGATCGGATCTCTGTGTCCCTAAGATCTCTACATTGGTCTTCCCTGATTTCTTCACCTTTAGTTCAGCCCAACCTCTTTCAGCGTTTTCCCCCCTCATAGGACTTGTTTGTTAGCTTTGTAAAATTTTCTACTATTTTAAAATAACCATGCATTAAGTCCAAGAAGAATTTTATTATTTTTCCAGGATGAAGATTTGTGAAATAATTAAAAACAAAAACAAAAACAAAAAAACCCACCCTTCTTTAAATAAGAATTCAATTTCAGAAAGCCCAATCACTTCCTAATAAGTTGCCACCTCTATGAACTAATGGAATATATATATATATGTATATATATATATACATATATATATATATTTTTTTTAAGATTTTATTTATTTGACAGAGAGCACAAGTCGGCAGAGAGGCAGGCAGAGAGAGACGAGGAAGCAGGCTCCCTGTTGAACAGAGAGCCCCATGCGGGGCTCCATCCCAGGACCATCATGACCTGAGCCGAAGGCAGAGGCTTTATCCCACTGAGCCACCCAGGCGCCCCGGAATATATATTTTTAAAGATTTTATTTATTTGTCAGAGAGAGAAGGCACAAACAGGGGAAGCAGCAGGCAAAGGAAGAAGCAGGCTCCCTACTGAGCAAGGAGCCCAATGCAGGGCTGGATCCGGGGACCCTGGGATCATGACCTGAGCCGGAAACAGATGCTCAACCGACAGCCACCCAGGTGTCCCCTAATTGAATATTTCCTAAGTATTTTCCCTAGAGATGGCTCTGGCTTGCTAATTGCAAAAGGGGTCAATTAGTCAACACCTGTTTTATAAGAATCCTGCTTAAGTGAGGTGCTGTGGCAGAATGATTACATTGTTCCTGTTTGGGGTCAGTCACTACTCTGAATTCAGCTTCCATCTGAAGTTGGTGACAGACTGTCATATACTCCCAGCTATAGGGGCTTCTCTACCAGTCATGATTACAAGCACAATGTCAGTAAGTTACGGTCACGGAAAATCTGGTTAGCCTCCATACAAGAGACAAGTGCTGGGGCTTCATCATTTATGCAGTTCTGAAAGAAAAAAATTTCCTGAATTTGGGGCACCTGGGTGGCTCAGTGGGTTAAAGCCTCTGCCTTTGGCTCAGGTCATGATCCCAGGGTCCTGGGATCCAGCCCCGCATTGGGCTCTCTGCTCAGCAAGGAGCCTGCTCCCCCCTCTCTCTCTGCCTGCCTCTCTGCCTACTTGTGATCTCTCTCTGTCAAATAAATAAATAAAAGTCTTTTAAAAAAAATTTCCTGAATTTGTCCCATTTCGCTGAGAGCAAATAGGCCCAGACTCTATCAAATTGTGCTACATCAAGTGCTGACCCTCAAAATTTTGTGGTAAGGGGAAGGAATTCTTGAGAAGCTGAGTGATAAAGCAGTCTTCTTCTTAATCAAGGCAAAAATCAAACAAGTTTTCATCTCACTTCATTCAACATTACTGGTTTATTTTATTTTAATTTTTAAAAGGCATTCTTCAGTGTACAATTAATTTACAGTAAAATCATTTTCTACTCTATGGTAGAGTGTTTCAGAGACATCAGTTGAATTATCTGTGCTTTAAAAGCCTGCAAACTCAGGTCCGCATCAGCTAAGACAGGGAGTTCCAGAAGTATAACCAGGAACCTGAAGATAAAACTAATTGTGAGCCCCCAATATTCAGACTTATGAACACTGCAAAAGGAAGTAAGTATCATTACTTTCAAAAAGATCCAGCCTGAATATTGCTGGATTAAAACAAAAGATCTAAGATTAAACAATAAAGCAAATCACTTAGAGCTTTACAGTTTGATTCAGCGAGAGAAGAGGTAGTCTGTGTTCAGGATGTTATGGGAATACAAATGGTTTTATTTTACTTTGAGGAGTAGCTGTTCTTCCGTGTGCCTCTTCCACTGAGAAAGTTCACATTTCTACCCAGTCAGAGCCCACATGTCACACCATTCTCCAGATTCCTGTGTGGCCCTCTACCTGATAGATCAAAGGCCATAATCCTCTCTCTTTATACATGTCAAAATTTTGTCATTATCTGAAAACACCAGTTCCAGAGGTAATTCAAAAGTTCTCATTTTTCAGGTAGAACAGCATTTAAAGCACATTCCGTTCTTGGTCTTCCCTGGTCAAAGAATAATGAGTAAAGTCCATCCTGAATTTGGTGGTCTTTGGTCTTGTGATTTGGGGAGGCATCCTGGAAAAACTGCTTTAAATGTGAAGGTCAATGTAAAGGGAAATTTAGGAGTTAGTTACACCTTGTGCCTGGTATAGCAGTGGGCTCCCCTGGTGAATTTCAAGTAAATACTGTTACCTGAAGTGTGCTGTATACAGGGAAGTGGAATTCTATATGAAAAACTCTAATATACAGGGTCATCCTTGTGGTGGCTCTGAGAAAGTTTATGCCCTTGCACTGCAAAGAACCGTTATTTTCCTATTACCTCAGTTGAGGTAATCTTTATTCAGTAGAGATGATGGGCAGCAGAGCCCCATCTCCTGCCATACTGGCCCACTGACATAGTATATGGTAAGCCCACCCCCAGACTCTTAGTTCCTGACAGCCTTCGTTAGCTTTTCTGTCCTCTGTCATGCCACGCTATTTGTCATCAACAGAATTAAACATTTGGCCATAGTTCCATCCTTCCTTTTCTATCAGCACTGTGTTATGCCCATCTTTAAGTGTTTCTTCTTCAAGTAAGTTCTTGGCTTGTTCTCTAAATGCAAAAAAATACTATTAGAGAGAAATGGGAAATAAATATCTATTTAAAGAGTTTTTGAGGAGGTAGAGGGAAAGGAAAGCAAGATATGTACTATAATCTCTCTTATCACTACCCAAGCCACAAAGATGGAAGAGACTAAGAAAGCTTATCAAGAAAATCAGGATTAAGAAGACACCCTGACAACAGACTTTCAGGGAATAAATGAGAAAAACCTATGTCTTAGACTTTTAAAATACTGTTTAAAATCTACCTCAACCTAGTATTAGTAGGTGGCATATCTGCACGTATATTTACAGAATGAAGATCATAGGTTTTGTTTTTTTTTCCAAAGTTCACTTTACAAGTGATACTTAGAGGATTACTACAAAACACAAATTTACTTTTGTCAAGTTTTAAAAAACAGCATGATTACAGTCATCCCAGCTTGTTTTCTTTGCAGTTGTCCTGGAGATATAAGCAGTTATTGAATAAATATGTAATAGAGGGCTTTTTTTTTTTTTTTTGCTTTCTGTAATATGGCTGTGGTCATAATGGCCAGCATGTTCTCCAGCCTAGCAACCCATCAAGACGGAATGACACCTGAAATCCCAAACGAAGCTTGAAATGTCCTTAAAGGGACAAGCGGGATTGCCTCTGGCTTACGCTGGCTTCATCGCATGAGGAAACCTTCAGAACTCCGGGTGCCATAATGAATGAGATGGTGTCATTGTTGGTTCCAAAGTACAAAGAGGACCGGGACATTGTGGGGCGAAAGCCAGCAATAGTCCACGATGCTGTACTGCGTGTAGCCCAGAAAAAAGCCAAAAGCCACATCAGTGACATTGTGCCGCCCCAGCATGACTCTGGAGAAGCCCACGATGAAAGCCCATAGGACCACAAGCACCCTCAGCGGAATGGCCAGCACCAAGTGGTTCAGGATGAACCGCGACACCAGGGCGGCCCTGGTGGCATGGCCCGAGGGGAAGGAGTACTTGTCCACTGAGAGGGTGACAAACATGTCCATCTGGTTGTGAGCCGGGCGGCGCCTGCGCACCAGCCCCTTGATCAGGGCCACCAGCAGCAGGTCCAAGAGAAGGGCGAAGAGCAGGTTCATGAGCACCTCGCGCCCGGCCCAGCTGTCGCTCCTGGCCAGGCAGTAGAGGGTCCCCAGGAGCCAAGGGATGCCGTGTCCCGAGATCTCCAGCAGCTTCATAAGGGGCCGCATGCTACCCCAGGACGAGCTCTCCCCGGCGCACACCCCCAGCTTCTTGGACAGCCACAGGTCGATTGCTAGCAGGGAGCGCAGGGCGATGCCTAAGAAGGACGGGTTCAGGTCCATGCGGTCTTCCTCGGGCAGCGGGGCCGGGGCTGCCTGCGAGGGGCCCGCCCCGGCCAAGGGGAAGGAGCCGCGGCGGTGCACCGGGCTGTCGGACGCGCGGAGCCGGGCGCAGGTGGGGTCCGCGCCCGGCGCGCGGCTGCTGAGCAGCGACTGGAACTCGAACCTGCCGCCGCCGCCGTGGGCCGGGCTGCCGGGGCTGCTGCTGCTCGATGCCGAGGCGGCCAGCGGGCGTCCGTCCGCGTTCCTCCGGGGGCTCGGCATCGCGGCGGGGGGCCCGGACCCCAGGAGCCGGCCGGCCTAGCGCGAGGCTCCCGGCCCTGCAGCCTCTTCCGCTTCCGCACTGCCATCCCGGAGGGGCGGGGAGAGCAGCGGGCGGGAGGACGATTGTGACACCTGGCGGAGACGTGGGAGGAAACTGGAATTTGCACTTGAGGAAGGAGAGGACGGGGGAAGGTGGAGGTGTGGGGGCTCCAGGGGCAGGGGCGCGGTGGGGGTGGGGGATTTGACGTCGTCTGTGGGGGTTAAGGAAAAAACAGCTCCGTTTAGAAAAGCGGCACCACACAAACCTTGTTCTCTATTTTTCATTTGTTTTTAAGATTTCTTGCCCAGGGGTATTCCTTCCTGACAAACAAGATGTGTACCTTGGGGTGTACCTCCTAAATCAGTACCTGGAGACGGACTGCTTTCCCTCTGTGTTCCCTATTATGATTCAGCAGAGCATGAGGTTTGAAAAGGTAATCTTGACTTTCTCATTGCCAAATAGAGAAGTTTAAATGTTGTTGTCTGGAGGTCGTCTAATGGTTCTTATAAAGTTATTTTGTATATTTTCTTTAAAAAAGAAAGAAAGAAAGAAAGAAAGAAAGAAAGAAAGAAAGAAAGAAAGAAAGAAAGAAA